AAAGGCAGACCACATTTTGGAAATCGCAGGACTTGGAGAATTTTGTGGTTATTGTTTCAAGAATCATACATGTGAAAGTATGTTGACGACTGAATGTCACAAATAAATTCAAAGATCAAAGACGACTTTCAAGTCGTCTTACTACTGTCATGTTTCGTGGAACACCCTGTATAAAACAGTGTATAGTTATCCTAGATATCATAACACTGGAGTCTCTTATTCCATCGTCGCTGAGCAAAAAAATAATTAAAGGGAGACTATAATGATTCACAACAGAACCCTTTCAACCTAGTTGTCTGATCTGAATGAGAAATTCATGTTTTTTCAAAGAAGAAAATTGACTTACGGATTTGAGCCGCAGAGAAAAGATGAAAACTTTGAGAATTTCACACATTTCCAAATAGAAAGACGACAAAAAACCAAAAAATACAATCCCGCATGGAAAAATTTATCAGGTTTTTGCTCTTTACTCCTTTAAAGATGAAGTTAAAAATCATTGCGTTCAAGTTTTGAACTTTTAATTGCCAAGGCTACACAAAGTTTGTGTGAGATGGTTAGGAAAACAAAGGACGCTATGACACTTCAAAGTCGGCGCGGTCTTATAATCTGATGCACACTTCTAGTCTTAGTTGTCTAAATATCTATAGTAGATGGATTCCACAGATGAAGGCCTGCAGGGGCGGATACATGAATGAGGCAGGGAGCAACCGCTCACCCCGGGAAAAGTGCTAACCCCTGATTCCTAAAGCTAAACTAACTAACATATTTTCTGAAAAAAATCACAGTAGTGATTTTATTGGAAAAAGTGATGCATTTCCATATTTCTCACTTCTAGTAAAGACATGTTTTTTAATAAATTTTGTCATATCTTAAAAATACGGGTTTTTTCTAGGATAAGACTTTAAAATTGACGACCTGAGCCCATAACTTAATAAGGGTATCGTTGTAAAAACCAGTTTTGAAACCCGGGTTTGACAAATGGGGTTAGGCAGTTTTGTAGATATCAATATTTTTGTTATGAAATATTATATTATTTAGTTTCTTCATATTCTCTTTTTTTCGAATCTCTAAAATTACAAATCTACTAAAATGTTAAGACCCCGAAATGAAAACTCGGGAGTTTCATTCAACGATACTCTTTTTAAATTTAAGGCTCTGGAACTCTTTAACCCTATCTCTGCTTGGATACTTGAAAACCAGAATATGCTGGGGGGGGGGTCAATTTGACCCCCCCCCCCCTAAACCCCATGTTTGATGTCCAAATATGACAAATGATACATCATTGGAAAGCTCTTGTGCTCTACTTTTAGAATCTGCAAAAAATTGCAAATTTTTGCAAAAATTAAATTTTTTATCGCAAAATCCAGTTATATAGTAAAAATGTTGTTTGCAAAAAAAAAATTGTCCAGAAAATGAAATATTATACATTTTTGAAAAGCCCTTGACCATGCCATTTCAAATATGCAAAAAATTAGCAAAATTTTAAATAACCTGATTTTTAATCAAGAAAAACTAAAAATGTGCAAATTTCCTATGACAGGTTGTTTGCAAAAAATTTGCAACACAAAGATTTAGTTTGTTACAAGAAAAAGCAGTCATTCAGACAGTGTGCCTGAGGACTCAGGCAGTTAGTATTAAAGCCCAGTTTTAGGCCTAAAGAGAGGGCTTTGGGTAAGTAGGAAGTCAGAAAATTTCAACAGCCTCAGACCAATACTTTTTGAGTTATGTAAAAAAAACTACAAATAGAATAAAGTAAAATCTGTACAGTCGTAATTGAAGTTTTATCTTTTTCCACCCTAGGCTTGAGCAAGAAATTTTTATTGTGATTGCTTAACTACGTTTTATATAACAGGGCATAACTTGTAATTACGCTACGAAGGACCCAATTCCTAATCAAATCTGAACAAATAATGTTAGTTGATACAGAAACTCCGCTTTGATTACAGTGTTGAGAGTCATTTGGTTTCGTTGACATAGCTGAGACCATTTGCCTTTGTATTTCGGCTTGATCTGTAGATCGCTATTGTCCGGTTTGGAGAATCTTTAATCATGACCTAGGAACCCCTTGACCGATTTGCCTCAAAATTTAATTGGGGAAGTCAATCAATAGCGTTTCAGGCAAGCTTTCATACAGCAGTAGTACAATCCTGTGATTTTATGTGTAATTCATATTTTAGCACAATTAAACAAATTACTTGAAATAATGTCATAGACTTTATAAATAGACCTATAAATAGACCTATAAATAGCTCCGAGTTGAATTAAATTCATTTAAGAACAGATCTATTTCTGCCTATATCGTACCTTGCTATTCTTTTTAATTTTTTCATGATGATTTTATTTCTTCACATTTATTATCATTAAATCCCGTGTGCGACAGCCATTTTTAGTTTTGCAAAATAGCAAAGTTTATAATTAGCATGCTTTTGAATTTATTCCTAGTAAAATACAATTTCGCTTCTGTAAACTGATTTTAGAAAATCTCACACCCTTTCTATGCGACACTATATTTTACGCTTTGTACTTTTCATACTATAAGCACAATTTGGCATTTGCATTTCCATAATAGAAGTTCAAACATAAAAATAATAGGAATGAAAATATAATAAACATAATAAAAAAAATCCGATTTTTCATCACTGCATAAACCCAGATATATTTAATCAAATCAATCCCACACAACTAAATATTTTAGATGTTACAAAAAATGTTTTAAAAAGTTTCAATGAGTGTTTGATGTTATTACTGATTCTCTTGGAAATTCTTCCATATCTTCCTAAAGTCACCATTACAGTTAAGAATATTAGCTTTTAGGCATTCTACTTCTTCTGGATTTCCCAAACCTGCACAGATGTTTGTATGTATCATCCAGTTCCTGTTTCCTGAAGAATAACAATCATAAAAATCTAACTAAAAAAAAGATTGAAAAAAAATTATTCTACTCTTCAGTCTTCAGAGCATTATCAAAATATTAATAGCCTAAGAATACTTAGTTACGGTGAATAATTGTTTAAAAATAAATTCTGCATATTCGTTTCATAATAACAATAATTTTGAAACACTTAAAAATTCTTACTTCTTCGCTCTCCACTTTTTACAGGCTTTCGCATTTCCATTTCCATTTGATTGATTTTCAGTTGATAAATCACTCCAGCCATTCTCTTCGTATGAAACATCATCGGGCAAGTTTTTTGCCCCTTGATCATAGCTGGTACTAAACTCTCTAGTCGATGAAGTGTCGTTGCCTGGTGGTAGGTAAGGAATAGATCTGCGAGAGCCTCCTCTTGTTCTTTTTGGTCTACACACTAAATCCTTCAATGGTTGGGAGTTAAGGCCAGATTCCTTAGATTTAGATGCTTTAAAACCAGAATCTAGATATTCAGTGCTCATCGATGGGGTTTCCTCGATGATTTGGAGGAGGGTTTCAGTGGTAAGGGTTAGGATGGAATCTTCAGTACTTTTATCTTGATATTGATACGAACAGGTTTCAACATTGGCAGTGCTATTTTGAATATTGCTATAATCTGAAGAATGATATGAATTCTCTAGCTCTTGATAAATTTTCTGATATTCTGGTATGTCTAATTTTTCTTCAATTGGATTATAAGCATGGAATTGACTGATCAAACTATCTGGTTCTAAACAAAAAATTACATAGTGAGGTCCCACACAAATTTTGGACCCGATTGGTTCAGCCGTTTTGACGTTTACTGGATACAAGCGACAAACAGACAGACAGACAGACAAGCGAAGTATATATATAAATAAAGCTAGCTCTTCGCTCATATATATATATACACGTTAGCTATAGCTGGCCAAACGGCTGGACCAAATTGTCTGAATTTTTTAGAAGAAAACTCATTTGTATAGCCAAGTGATTAAATACTCACTTTGTGTGTATAGTGGGTCTCATATACCCTAAAAAATTCGACATTTTTTCTCAAATTTCTATTTTCCCGTGTTTTTGAAATTCTGTGGGCAACGATGGAGTAGCTGGAGTAGCTAGTTAATCCTATATCTATACACAATGCAAATCAATTCTCTCCTCCTCGTAAGACCTTCAATAGCGCCAACAATTATGTACCTGTAGCCTGTGATGAGGTCTGGAAGTTTAGCCCCTCCCTAGACACTTGTCCATCGTCGCTGTAAAAAAAATTAACTTTATCTAATTCAAAAAAACCAAAATGGCCTCAAAACAAATTTAAAAGCGTTTTTTTTCATGAAAAATAATTTCTTCTTTGGAAAATAATTTTTTCCTCCTAGAAGTTTGCGAGGAGCGGCACAATATTTTTAAAAGTTTTAATTGGAGAAAATATATGAATTTTATGTGAGAGTATATATAGTATATACCCCTTAGTAACTTAATAAATAAAAATACTAACTGAAGTCTCGAGGCAAGTAGTCAGTGCAGAATACTGGTTGTCAACCGGACTATCCTGCTTGCGATGGCATTCGTTCATTGTTCTGAAAAAGTTTATTTCTAAGGTTGGAAGAAGTGTTTGTGAAAAGTCTTTTTCCTTTCTCTGATATTTTTCCTTTATCCTATGAAGAACACCAAAATATCTTAAAAATTATGATAATTTACTTTGAAAAAAAAAACTAGTAAGAATGTAAAAACTGTCCTCAAATCGAAAAATCTCGATTCGGCAACCCCTCGTAAAATTCAAATTTATACACTAGGGCTCAAAAAGGCGGCTTTAAAATAGAGGTTTGGTCTTAAAAATATTAAAATAATCTGTTCATGAGTAAATTTTGCAAATATTTAGCAGGGAAGGGTCGAGTTTATTTGGATTTGCAAACCTAGTCAATGTAACAGCACTAGTCTTGAGGATTCCAAAATGCTATGTCTTGACCCTAGATAATTTCTTTGAAGTAAATTATGATTTGGGAGGACTGTGATTTACAATGAAAAACATCGCATTTCGTTGGTTTTACATAAGTTATCAGCATTAAGTAAAATTAAAATAAAGGCGGGTTTATTAAATAATCACACAACCTCCTAAATATATTTATACCAAAAACTCCCCCAGATGCAATCATCAGATTTCGAAATAAAATCTTTGTAGCATCCTGAATGTATTTCTAATGGGGAAATCACTGATGGTATGTAGTTGAATTTCCATTTTTATTGTATTATGGTTCATCCTATATATAAGTATTTGATTGATTCATCAGTAGGATAGATTATCTCCTTAATTATTCCAGATTCCTAAACAAATAAAACTTTATATTTTTATATTTTGGTATAGTGAAACCAGAAAATTATAAATAGGAAGACGACTTTATACTTGAGTTTATCTAATGCTTTTACAAAGCAAATAGTTAAATTGGACTATTTTAAGTCGTAATATTGATTATAAATTTTCTGGTTATCACTGTATCATTATGGCATGCAGTCTAATGGACTAGAAGTTTTAACAAATACAAAAGTAAGTGATGATTTAGAAGTCTGACTAATGTATTGTATCTATATATATAAAGTTGTAATTTCTGTTTGTCTGTCTGTCTGTTTGTTTGTCCGATCATAACTTTGGAACCCCTGGACCGATTTGCCTCAAATTTTGATTGGGGAACTCTGGAATGGACTTAGTTTGGTTTTGAAATTCTAATTTAGCGAAAATTCAGTTTCCCGGCTGAATCGTTAAAGTGTGGCAAAATGGCGGTAACTTTAAGTAACCTGGGCATCGCTGGGTTCCCATGATAGTGTATGTATATAAAAGTTAGAAATATGTTTATCATTTATCGAAAAAAAGGTTTCAACTTTAAAGGTCACTTAAAATTACAACGACATTCCATTTAATTCTAATCATATTATACCTTTAATTCTTTGAGCATATCCATCTCTTTTTTTCAGTAAATCCTCCAACTTCTCTTTAATATCCTTGTTGCGACGTTTTAAAGCTGTCAACTCAAAAGCCAGCTGTTTCTTTTCATTCTTTCTAAATGCATACATTAATGATTTATCTGAGTGATATATACGTTGGAGAAAAACTCAGCGGGAGCGGTTGAGATCTAGCACAGACTCTACGCAGTCTAGAATAAGAAATTATTTTTCTCAAATTTAATTTTGTTCAACTGATAAAATCGTACTTTTTTCGAGAACATTTTAAAGATAATAAATAAATTTGTTTGCTTTCAACCGCTGGTTTAAAGTTTTTTTTTCAGTAACTATTTGCTTTCAACCACTGGGTTTGAAATTTTTCTTTTTAAACACAGGAAAACAGTTTTTCTAGATAAACTTTTGCTTTGAACCGCTGGGATATGGATTTTAAATAACTTTTTTGCTTTTAACCGCTGGGTTTTAAGATTCTAAACAACTTTTTGCTTTCTACCAATGGAAAACAGTTTTTCTTGATAATCTTTTGCCCCTGTGTTCAGGATTTTAAATAACCGCTGGTTTTAAAATTTTGAACAGCTTTTTGCTTTTAACCACTGGAAAAGTTTTTCTTGAAAAACAGTGCTTTTAACTGCTTGGTTTAAGATTTTTTAGCAACTTTTTTGCTTTCAATCGTTGGGTTTAAGATTTGTCAACAATTTTTTGCTTTTAACCGCTGGGTTTAGGATTTTTCAGCATCTACTTTGCTTTTAGCCACTGGAAAAACTTTTTTTCTTAAAAAATAATTTTTCTTTTAACCGCTGGGTTTAAAATTTTTAACAACTTTTTGCTTTCAACCACTCAAAAACAGTTTTTTTCTTTCAACTGCTGGGTTTAAGATTTTAAATAACTTTATATCTTCAGGTTTTGGTTTAAAAGTGAGGTGTCAGCTCAAAATTGAAAGAAAACAAATATTAAACCCAGCGATTGAAAGACAAACGTTTTTCAAGAAAAAACTGCTTTCCTGTGTTAGAAAGCAAAGAGTTGTTCAACATTTTAAACACAGCTGATGTAAGAAAAAGGATTCTGAAAAATCTTAAAACCAGCGGTTGAAAAAAAAAGTTATTTTCTCACAACCCCCGGCTGAAAGAAAAAAGTTTTTTAAGAAAAACTGTTTTCCAGTGGTTGAAAGTATAAAGTTTTTAAAAAGCAGTTGAAAGCAAGAAAAGTTATTTAATATCTTAAATCTTACAGTTAAAGAAAAACGTTGTTTAAGAAAAACTGTTTTCCAGTGGTTGAAAACAAAAAGTTTTTCAAAATCTTAAACCTAGTGGGTTGAAGCAAAAAAAGCTATTTAAAACATTTAAAATGTTGACGAAAATATTACGACTTTAGCGGTTAAATAAAGTTAAAATTGGAGAAAATAACACTTCTAAATCTGGACGGCAAGAAGCAGGGTTGGAGTTGGAATAGGAAGCAAAGTTGCAGTTAGAATGGGGAGCAGAGTTGAAGTTGGAATAGGGAGCAAGGATAGAGTTGGAATTGGAAGCTAGGTTGGAATTAGATAGGGGAGCACAGTTGGAGTTAGAATGGGGAGCACAGTTGGAAATGGAATAGGGAGTAAAGTTAGAGTTGGAGTTGGAATAGGTAGTAGAAGGGTTGGAATTGGAATAGTGAGCGGGGTTGGAATCGGAATATGGAGCAGGGTTGGCGTAAAAATAGGGAGCGGGGTTGGAGTTTGAACAGGGAGCAGGGTAGGAATTTGAAAAGAGAGTAGGGTTGGAGTTTGAACAGGGAACAGGGTAGGAGTTGGGATTGAAAGGAAAGAATTGACTTTGATGAACATCTTGATAGTTTCGGGATACATCTTTAATTGCCCAGATGGACGATATTTGGGACAAGGGGAGAGTAGTAACAGCAGGGTATTGTGCTTCATGATCATTAGTTGATTGAAAGGCGGAGGCTGGAGAACTTGATACCTGGTTCTCCTTGGCTGATTTCACAACAATATTATCTAAATTGTTCAAAGTCCATGAAAAATAAGCAAAACTGTTATTTTAATATGAAACTATTTACTATTCCTAAACAGTTTTTCTGTTCGAATGCTCATGTGGTCAAATTAGAAGAAGTTCAACTGTTTTTGATCATAATACCTGTTTAGGTTTAGTCGGGGTGGTTATTTTTGTCACAAACTCCAATTTGCTAATCCCGTTATCGATCTATATGATCGTGAGGACTTGTTTTTCCTTAAAAGCATAATTTTAGAGTTAGCTCGCAGAGAAAGGAATTGAAACGTGTAGTTTTTTGCTTGATAAATATTAACCATTTTTCGAGACTGAGATCCATTTTATTTAAATCCTTTTTGTGTAGATAATATACATATAAAGCATTATCTTTCATAACCCTACCGGCCCAAAGCAGCATATAGTTGGACACATTGAAAATCCGAGTTTTTAATCCAAATTTTTACGTTGTCAATAGGACGTTTTTTGCTTTACAATCGGCCGTGAAAATATATTTTCTGTACAAATTTAGACTAAACTCATAAGTATGCATCTTGAATTTAAATAATTTTTCAGATAAAATATCGTAATGTTTGTTATTCTAATAAAATTGAAGTTCATTAGTTAAAGTATTAATATTAAATAAACTGAAATGGGTTTGAATTCACAAGAAGAGATTAGTTGCGTAACAATGTTTAAAATGATTTGTAATGATTAGGAACTTATTGAAATGGATTTAAATGATTATGAACAGAAATAAACTACTTGTTAACATCGATTGAAATGGATTGAAATGGATTGAAATGGACTAAAAAGAATAAAAAAGGATTGAAATGGACAAAAAAGAACTTAAATGGATCGAAATAGATTAAAATTGACTGAAATGAACTGAAATGGACTAGAGTGAACTAAAACGGATTGAAAAAAATTGTTTATATAATACGCTAGTAATTTTTTATCATGTTTTAAT